CACAAGAAACATAACACCTGCGCTTCTCATGGCAGGAATCGCCTCGTTCCAACGCTAGTGGAAACGTCTCGGAAAGAATCCACACTCACCCTTTCTCTTACGAGCTGAGGGTGTAAAAAGAGGTCACCGCGCGACGTCGCGTCCACTTGTAACTCTAGATAGTGCGCCAAAATGGACAGACTGCTTCGTGATGCAAAGTGAGCCCTGCACGCAGCACACACAGCGCCCGACTCTGGTTCTGATGCTGCTGTCGCTGCTGGAATATGATGGCGGTGTGTCGGAATACGATAGAGGTATTTTTCGAGCAGCAACAACATACACCGCGAACAAGTTCGTCATCAGCTGGTGCGAGCTCGAACTGCAAGTCGGCACGACGTCGCGCGGTGACCTTCTGCACCACACCCAAGCGTAAATTGGCCATATATTTGATGAAGAAAGGAAAAGAGAAAAGACGAGGACAAGTACCTACCTGAATCCGGTTCCGTCAGGCAATATGACGATAAGTTTTCGAATGTCGCCATGGTGGGAAGATGCTTTTCTCGCAACTCCTTTGATCCATAAGTATCAATCATCCAAGCGCACCTGCAAATGCACAAGGGTCAAAAGAAGGGATACACCTGAGAAGTAAGCAAACAATTGAACGAAAACACGAAGTAACAGAACAATTGTTGGTGGAACAGAAGGGCTACACCGGGGTCAACCATCCGTCGGTAGAAGTACCGACGAGGGAGGCGGGGGCGTTCGTATTTGGGGATGGCGAAGGTCAGATCGAGAAGAAGGGTTGTATTTTCGGAACTCAAAGAAGTCTCACTTACAAGACATGCGGAAGAGGAGGGGTGGGTTTTTTCGACAATTATGAAGAAAATTTCATGAGAAAGCGCAAATAAGGAAAGTCAAAAGATTTGTCGTTTCTTTAGACGTTTTTATCTCCCTTTTTCACCGCTCTCACGGCCTTTTTGATGGGGAACGTGGGCAGAGTTGGGTGTGTCGAGTGGTCCCAGAGTCAAGTACTGTGGAAACGGGTCATGCTGCCAAGGGTGGTGGTCGGGGAGGGCGAGGGGGGTTAGGGCAACCCAAACCAAGGGCTGATGATGGTAGCCTTTTCGAGACCCCTCTGAAAGGAGGGGACGCTTTGAGAATTGAAACAACGGACTTTGAATCTAATTTCTACTCTCCCCAACACCACCCCCACCCTCCTCCAACTACAGATACTAATGAAAGCAGTTGTCAAATTTATCTATGTAGTAACTGAATATGTAGTGCCCAGCCTTGGCAAAAATCCTAGCGTAAAAAACTAACATGTTATGAATACTCATGTAAGTCGCGGTAGAGACACAACCGGCCGCGAGTTGTTCGTAAATCACAGACGCATGTCTGAACAGTAGATGGCACCAAAACCCAACTCTCCAGCATGTCGCATCGTCTCCACCGGGAAATATTCCTAAAAATGAATGAAGTGAGGAGAAATCCCACTATCAAAAGCTCATTTCCTTAAATAAATGAAGTGGTGAACCATCAGCTTTTCGAAGATACCTAGGTCACAAACCTCTCTGTCCCATTTGGCCATGTTTGGATACATTTCTCGTTGGGCAAAATCGCGCGCCACCTTCTGCACCTCCACCAGGTCAGCATCGAGTCCTATCGCGGCTGTAACAGAAGGGCTAGGCCGAACAGGCATCAGCTAAGAAAGAAGAAACATTCGTAAAGCAAAATAAATGAAATGGTTCGTTTCGCTCCTTCCTCAGACGACCCTTATTATTTCGTCAATCCTCGTCAATGAGTTGGGATTGGTGAAATAAAGACGCAGGGGAAAACTAAAACCCCTAAACTCAACATGAAAATTGATCATGCGAAGCAACATGTAATTTAATATATTGCATATAGATTAAATGAATAGATAGCGTATAAATTTAATGAACTATGTAAAAATTAAATTTAAACGGCCAGAAAGGTATTCGGACCAGGGTCAACCCTATCGTTGTTACTCTTTGGAAATTTTTTACGACCCCCCCCCTTCATGGGTGATTTGATACGACCCCCCTTGTATGTGACACTTGTGTAGAGACAGTGTTTACCATCAATATTTATTTCTACGTAAGTCATCAAAGATGAAACTTTAGCAAAATCCACGACAGATATTCATCGCTGCTTCCAAACACGAAAAAATGAGATGCATTCAAAGATATCCGTGTACTCCAAAGGGTTACCAAACTAGGAGATGAAATAAACTGAACCAGTGACCGGAATATTGACAATATTACCTGATAAAAACTTATGAGAAGTCAGAAAAAATTATCGCTCCAATTGAAATACTGAAATCCTTCACGTTCTTCAATTGCAACACAATTTTTACACCCCTCTTTCTAAGGCTATAACTTCCTTCATATTCGAGCTTCTGCGCCGAAGTGATTTGATTTGGAAAATTCAAATTATTCTCTCTCCAACCATGGGTAAAAATTCTTCGAAAGTTAATTTATAAAAATTTAGTACGTTGTTACTTTTTTCTGTGCAAAGTGTAAGACGTTGTTACTTTTTTCTGTGCAAATGCGACTTTTTAACCTTTAAACGATCATAACTTTGTTCAAAGTCATTCATTTGGGAAGCTGAACACGGTATGACAAACTACAGGATTCAAGCTTTTTACGAGCACCAAAACGTTCCTGAAAAGTCAGCAGTTCAAAAATTAGTCCCGTTGTTACTTTTTTGAGGGGTATTCTTCAAGCCATTTTCCGAAAACGCGGGTTTTCTTAGGTTTCACTGCCCGTAACTTCTTGGAAGACCAATTTCATGTTTAATTTAGGATGTGCTAGAAAGCTTCGAGCATGCGCTTGCACTACATCCCTTGCCTTGGTGCGCGCCACGCCTCGGGCGCCTTCTAATTCGCTGATTCATTTGAAAGCTCATTTAGAGGGAAGCGTGGTTTATAGATGCTCTAGTATCAGTCATCTTACGAAAACGTAACGTGCTGGCTATTATCCGATATTACCAAGAATCCCACTGTCGGCCACCGAGAGGGTACGACCCCCCCCCCAAGCTCAACTGAGTACGACCCCCCGTTGTTACTCGTAACAACGTAGGGTTGACCCTGTCAGACCAACATGACTCCGATGAAAGTCGATTTTAAGCTCCAGGGATTGACGAAATAATAAAGTTCGTCTGAGAAAGGAGCGAACTCAAACCGTGTTAACTATTTTGTTTATAATGGTTTTTTTTTCTTAACTGAGTTCTAGTAAGAAGAGGACTGAACAGATCAGCGCGCTTCTAATCAAATCCACGTCTAATATCAGGTGCGGAGCAAAGGAAACAGCAAAAGGTCTATAGGTACATGAGAGAAGCATCAGAAAGACTTGTTTAACCTTAAAATCAAAAAACTTACTGTACTCCGTCAACCTAGCCCTACCGAAAACGTTTATAAAGACAAAAAATGAAAACAGTCCGTGAAAAATAATAGGGTACACCGAAACTGAAAAGGTAAGAAAAAAGGAAAAGGTGAAAAGGTAAACTGGGTGGACACGTGGCACTAGTGGAAATGCAGAAACTGGTTTTCCTCATGGTTAGTTAGGATTTTCTTCTCTTCTGTGGCTTAATCGGTAAGTTACAAGCTATAAACATCGAACCGACTTCAGGTCCTGAAGACGACGAGTTTGTTAAAGGTCGACCGAATAAAGATGTTTCAGCGTTACAACCTGCACGGCAAACGAACAATAAGCAAAAAATAGGGTATACCATTTGCGTGGCGCGTTCAAATCTACTAGGCAATTGTTGCACTCTATTGTTCCTCCTCGCAATGACGAGGAACAAGCGATGAGAATTCAAGTGGTTCTCCTTCCAGATGAGGTTTATAGCAATCAACTGGCTTCGGGGTGGCTTTACATGTCACTACACCTGCTCTGCTCAAACTTTAGAAGACTGGACTGGCCGGCTTATTATTAGGCTTGTCATTATTTCAAATGCTGCCATAAAACTTCTGTTTGACAATAGTGCATAAAAGCCTAGAAGCTGCAGGCGCTCCACTGAGGATGATTAAAATAATCGACTTTGATTTGAACTTTTCAGGAAAAATTATTCCTGACTACCATCCAACCGAAAGCAAATATGGTCTTAATAATGGCTTGCGCGGGAAGTTTAAACCTATCCTTTCCCTCATAGTAAACAAGAACACTACATGGATTGAGAAAAAGCTCTGGCCGTGTAGGCTGCATTCGATTTGTGTTGGAACAGTGCTTTTAGTCACAGATATTGTTCGTTTTTCCGCCACAATCAACTTTTCATTGCACTTATGACTTTCTGTAAGATGCATGGCACTGACTTATGATTTCCGTAAGGTGCAGGCCAATAAAAACGAAACGCGATGATATAGCCTAGACAGATATAACCTAGACATATGTTGATTGTCGACCTAGCAGAAAAGTGTAGGTGCGAAAAGAACCCCAGGTCAGAAAGGGCGGAGCTTCCCATCGAAGTGGGCGGTGTCTCCCGCGCGTTCGTCATGGCAGCGGTGTATAAAAGGTCGCAAAGGTGTGCTATCCACACAGTATCTACCTGTTTGTAGCCGCTTTCAAATCTTCAACTATGGCCTCAATGGGATCTCGCGGTGGTGGTCACTCAGTCTACGGTGAGTCGCTTTGCTTAAGCTAATTCATTTGTTAAGGAAATCTTATCAGAACGCTGTCCATTTCAGTTGGAAATCTCCCCTATCAGACCAGCGAGGAAGCCATCGGGAACCACTTCAGCCGAGCCGGCCAAGTAACCAATGTCAGGTAAGTCCAGTGGTGTCCTGATGGCTTCCAGATCTTATGTGGGTATGTTCAGGATCGTCTATGACCGCGAAACTGGCCGCATGAAGGGCTTCGGATTCTGTGAGTTCTCTGACGAGGCTGGAGCCAACAACGCCGTGAACACCCTCAACGGATCGGATTTCGATGGCCGACAGCTTCGAGTGAACCTGGCCAACAGAAACTGAAAACCAGTCCGCACTTCGCCTTCATAGATGCATTCTTAGAGATTTCGAACTGAATGATCCATTTATCGCTTCCATTGTACAGGCCTTTAATAAAACATGCGGCTCAATCTTGTTTGAAGACAAACTGCGTAAGAGGTGAAGGGTAAAGGTAAAGCTTCCGCATACATTCACAATAGTGTTTTTGCAGAACAGTATTCCAATGTATCGAAATTTTTGAAAGCTTGTGAATAGAGTTAGCTTAGCTTCAAAGCTAGCCTCCACAAGGACTAAGAGAACCTATACATTGAGCACTTGAATAGGGCTAAACCCGAAGTACCTACATGGGTTCAAATCTATCTAACTATCTAAAATCGAATAATTAACTGGCGTTGGTGAATGCGACAATAAATATAAAGCAATCGCCTCCGCCTTTTAGAAAGCGCCACACATTCTATTACACTTTAATTTAGAATTGTACTGGAAAGGGTGCTAACTTAGTTGGGGGGGGGCACGCGGCGGCGCGGCAGTCTGTTCTCGAACATTCCAGCTTTTCACGCATGTCAAGTGACTGCCCCCACCCCCCACCCCCTAGACTGCCTACACTCCCCCCTGGCCCACGGATTTCCGAACATGCCAGGCGAGCAGACTGCCGCGCCGCCGCGTGGCCCCCCCCCCAACTAAGTTAGCACCGCTGAGATGTAGTAAATGTAAGAAAGATAGGGTCTAGAATAAAGTGACCTGGCCTATACGTCGAATCCGTGGCCCTACAACGGGGCAGGAAGTGGTGTTGGTTCGGTACAATGTTGGTACGATAAACAAACAAACAAACGCTAAACTCGTGCAACAGCTGAAGAAGAAGAACAATAAAGATCCCCTTCCAGTGAATCTCTTACAAGGAAGGTCTTTCAGGACATGGAGCGCTTTTTCGAAACGGTTTTCTGCATATTGTAGGGGCTCATGCGAGGAACACAGAACCATGATCCATTTTTCCTGAACGCCTCCAGGAATGTCAAAAAAGTTGTGAAGGAAATGGTCCAGAGTTCGATCCCCGGTGATGACTAATTTTTGCAATATAGTTTGCGCCCCTAGATTGCCGCCACATGGCGCCATCATCGAGTATAGATGTCAGTTGTCGCGTTCTGCGGCAATTTTGGAGCGCCAACAATAATATTGCAAAAATTTGTCGTCACGGGGGATCGAATTTTGAACCATTTCTTTCCCGCTCTCGGGGGCGTTCAGAAGAGATGGACCATGGTTCTGTGCTCTTCACATGAGCCTCTACAACATCCAGGTAACCATTTTGAAAAAAAAAACGCTCCAATGTCCTGAAAGACCCCCCTTTTAGGCCTGCCGTGTACAAAAAAAAAGATGACCCAAGAAAGTCAGCGCAGAACTATTAACTACCATTTCTGTGTGTGAGGGGCCCAGTGATTCCCACGGATAATTGTTAGACTTAAGACTGAATGCCGGCCATAGAAATGCAGGTCAGTTCTGGGCAACGCAACCAACAGAAAGTTGTTCCCAGGCGGGCCAAAGTAAACGCGTATTTGATCTAAACAAGAACACAGGGCGTAAGACCCAGACCCAATTATTTGCCCGAATATTGCCCGAGCAAGATAAGATAATGTGGCAAACTTATCCTTGTCCTTTATATTATATTTCAGAAAATTAATTTATTTCACAAGTTGACTTCTTTTGATTTTATTTCTTTTTTTTACTATTTAATCTTTCGACTA